TGCACTACACTGGCCTCTTAACATCTTTCCCTACTCTGCTGACCTCCACCCCTAGACTATGAGAGTCAAGAGAACATTATTCAACAAAGTATTCCTGGCCCCTGTCACAATGCCTGGAATAAAACTGGTGCTCTGTAAGTATATGCTGAATGAATGAAAACATTCAAAATAATACTGTATAATTTCTCTTCGTTTTATTGACTATGCAAAGGCATTTGACTGTGTGGATCATAACAAATTATGGCTAACGCTGCAAACAATGGAAACTCCGGAACACTTAATTGTGCTCATGAGGAACCTATACAAAGATCAAGAGGCAGCTGTTTAAAAAGAAAAGGGTATACGGTGTGGTTCAAAGTCAGGAACGGTGTGTGTCAGGGTTGTATCCTTTCAGCATACTTAGTCAATCTGTATGCTGAGTACATAATGAGAGAAGCTGGATTATATGAAGAAGAATGGGGCATCAGGATTGGAGGAAGACTCATTAACAACCTGTGATAAGCAGATGATACAACCTTGCTTGCTGAAAGTGAAGAGGACTTGAAGCACTTACAAGATTAAAGACCACAGCCTTCAGTTTGCATTATACCTCAATATAAAGAAAACAAAAATCCTCACAACTGAACCAGTAAGCAATATCATGATAAATGGAGAAAAGATTGAAGTTGTCAAGGATTTCATTTCACTTGGATCCATAATCAACGCCCATGGAAGCAGCAGTCAAGAAATCAGATGACACACTGAATTGGGCAAATTTGCTCTTTGGGCAAAAGACCTCTTTAAAGTGTTAAAAAGCAAACATGTTGCCTTGAAGACTAAGGTGCGCCTGACCCAAGCCCTAGTGTTTTCAATCGCCTCATATACACGTGAAAGCTGGGCAATGAATAAGAAGACAGAAGAAGAATTGACGCCTTTGAATTATGGTGTTGGCAAAGAACACTGAATATATCATGGACTGCCAAAAGAATGAACAAATCTGTCTTGGAAGAAGTACAGCCAGAATGCTCCTCAGAAGCAAGGATGGTGAGACTTTGTCTCACATACTTTGGACATGTTATCAGGAGTAACCAGTCCCTAGAGAAAGACATCATGCTTGGTAAAGTAGAGGGTCAGCAAAAAAGAGGAAGGCCCTCAACGAGATGGAATGAGACACAGTGGCTGCAATAATGCCCTCAAGCATAACAATGATTGTGAGGATAGTGCAGGACCGGGCAGTGTTTCATTCTGTTGTACACAGGGTTGCTATGAGTCAGAAGCAACTCAATGGCACCCAACAACAACAACAACAATTTCTCTTTGTACATCTGTGACCCACCTCCTCTTCCCCACAAATCCCTAGCACAGGACCCAGCTCCCAGAAGGTACTCAACACATCCAGAAATACTCACAGCTGGAAAAAGCTTTTGCAAGCACCTGGCTCTCTCCCTTCAGTTCACCAAAGGGGAAGGACCTCTCCAGGTTCTCTCCCCTACCCCAGGAAAGAAACAATCAAAGAAAGATGGGCAATGAAGGATACATGGGCTTCACAGGTCCTGAGAGACCAAGGTCTAGCAGAAGATAGGTTAGTGCCCTGCTGCTGTGGAACTCAGGAAGTCTAGGATGTGGTGGAGGGGCTACATTTGCCCTACCTTGCAGAACAAACGAACACCCTCCCATCAATGCCCTGTGCCTCCTGCGAGCTGTCCAACACCTGAACTATGTTCTCTGGAAACCTCAAGACACACCTAGAAATCCCACTGGGAACTACAAGCTTTCTAGGTCTCCCTTTACCACACCCTCTTTCCCCTGGAGATGAGGAGGTAAAGCCACCCACCAACAGGGGCCTGCAGGCCAGGCCTCTGGTTATCACCTTCAGAAGCAGAGAACTTTCTGTAGAAGACAAATGGGGTTTCTGGTCACTCCTCCTTGCTTCTGTTTACCCCCAGCCCCTAAAAGTCCTGAGTATCAAGGGTCCCAAGAATCCCCTGTGCTGAGAAACCTCCAGAAAGCAGCACAAATGCCACAGGAGATGTGAGTGGAGAGGACAACATTCTGGCCTGGCATAACCACAGAGAGCTTCTAAGATGAGTTGGCACTGGAGCTGAGCCTTAAAGGGTGGGAATCACTGGGCTTTATGGGGATGAGGGAGAAGTAGAGGAAATGGCAGGTGCAAATAATACCGAAAACAAGAGCTAACATTTACCCATGGCTTACTCTGTCCTTGGTGCTGGGCTAAGTGTTTGACTTCTCACAATGACTTTATGTGGTAGGTTGGTAGGTGCTGTTAATATATTAGACCAGAGGTGTTGAATAATTTGCCTAAGGTAATCCAGTAACTGGCAGGGCTGGGATTCAAACTCAGGTTTGCCCTACTCCAAAGTCCACCACACTATGTGCACGAAGTGCCGGGGAGATAGCTTGTGTGAGGGAGAGGAATGCAATGTTAAAGGTCCAGATGATGTCCTACAAAGGGGGCCATGTGCTGAGCAGTGTTGTAGGAGGAGTGGCCTAGCATGTTTATAGAGGATTATGGAGGGTCTGCTGGGAACCCTGTGCTCCCAGAAGCTCTACAGGGGGGCAGGTAGCAGCAGGAGTGAGAAGGCCAAGAAGAAAACAAGCCAACCAAATGCCAGTGGATGAGCAAGATGTTCACCTCCAGATTTAAGCAAATAAAGCTCTCTCTCCAGTCCCAGGCAGTGCACAAAACTCAAATTAAGTACCAACAATGTGCCACACCCTGCCCCAGGCAGCCTCCCTGTTTCTCCTCCTTTTCCTCCAGTGAGGAGAATCAGGCTGCTGGCAGGCTCCTACAGCCCAGCACTCTAAAGTGCTCTTCTCTCCTTCCCCACCTCCACTCTCATAAGGGAGGTCAACAACTATTCTTATACCTTTGACTTAAAATCATAAAATGCACAATTATCATTATTTCAAATTCAATGTTTTCTATTTTAAAGGTATTTATTTTCACTTTACTGGTTTAGTTCGTAAGAAAACAATAACTGACTTTTTTTTTTCCTTGAGATCACTTTTAACTTCAATGGGATTCTGATGCGAAAATTTTCTCCAGGTCAATCATCTGGCCATTACTTCCCCATCCAGCTAACAAATATAAGGCTATCAGTACCTCTGCTCAAAGGTATCACTTGAGGGTGGGGTGGGAAAAGGAACTCACATCCCAGCCACCCTGCCCTTCTCTACCACCCAGGTATAGGGAGGAGGCAGAGGCTGGAATTAGGGAAACCTCCAATTCAGTGTATCTGATGCATTTGTGCCTTGGAGAGTCAATCCCACTTGGGGGCGGTGTGTGTTGTTAAGACAGGGGAACTGAACTTCTCTCACCACTCTTGTGCTAAGAAACCGAACAGGCAGCCCCCTCGCTGAGAGGTTGGATTTACAGGCCAAATACAATTGTATGAACTTCCAGACTTGCAGGGCTACGTCTCCATCGCCCAAACACTGCCATCAGGAGACCGTGCCCAGCCAGCAGTTTGGAGTTGGGAGGAAAACCTCGCTAAACTGTCTCAGCAATTCCCTAGGAAGGCCCACTCCTCAGGCCAAAGAGAAGACTCAATGATCCCAAAGGCTTTCATGTATACGTGGAGAGGGTGGGAGAACTTTTCCGCTCAGCTTCCCTAAGCGTTGCCAGGGGACGGCTCTCTGGCTACGTCAGAGTGAAGAGGCTTGTACGGGCACATCCCACATCATGCAAAGAAACTTCCTCCTTCCAAACTACGCGGCGGACCCAACCCGGGAAGAGGCGGCCCAAGTCAAGGCGGACCACCGCGGCCTTGTTTGTGTTTGGGCCCGCGCCGAGCCGCAGCTGGAGGTAGATCTCCTTCCGGCGCACCCGCCATCAGCCCCCGCATTACCAGCGAGGCCCCTCAGGCCCGACTCCCCGACCCCTCAGGCCCTTCGAGAACTCCCGCTTCCGCCTTCTCGGCCAGACCTTCATCCGGGCCTTCCAAGACCCCGCAGTCTGGCCCCGCGGCTCACCCTCGAGCGTCTCGCACTGCACCAGGTTGAGGTAGTCCGCCTGGCTGAGCACCCCAGCTTTCAGGCCGCGCACTAGCCCCTCCAAGTAGCCATTGTCCACGTTGAAGTAAAGCTCCGGGAAGGACGACATGGCTGCGGAAGAGGCGGCGGGACCGTAGAACCCCGACCGGCCGGCACTCGACGCGACTCCACGATCAGCTGACGCTGCGCCCGCAGCGGGCTGTCAGGAGCGTCAGGTGATGCGCAAGCGCCTCACGTGACCACAATAAGGCGGGGCTTTGAGCGGCGCCCGGCTTCCGGATGGTTTCTCACGGAAGCGTTGCGCAGGTGTGGGCTGGCAATAGCCCTCTGGCGCCTGCGCACTGATGGGAGATGGGCCTCCTGCGTGAAGTGCGAGAGCCGCTTGGAGTGTCCGAGGCTGGCCGCGTGGTGGCGCCCGTGGCCGTAGGGATGCTACCTCTAACTTTCCCAGGTCTGGTGCGCCAGGCACCCTAGGGGCCGGCGGGGTTAAGATGGAAGCGGGCGGTGGCTCTTATACTGGGAAAGATTCCAGACTTGGAATCTGAGTCTGCCCCCCACCCCCCGAGGGAAACTGAGGTCCGGGAACGGGCAGGCCCACCGGAGTTAACACGTCGAGTTAGCTGCATAGCAGGTCCTGGGCCTGATACTTCGCCAGCCGGGAGTTACTGCCCGTACGCGCGCCTGCCTCCCTCCCTGCATTTATTGTACAAGATTCTGGAGTGCGGGAGCGCGACTCTCTTCTGCTCCCCTTAAGGGCCTGGCGCCCTAAAAGCTCGCGCGCGCGCGGCTCAGATGAGGGGGGTTCCATAGTCCCTGCCTGGTGTAAGGGTTGTGTGGGGTTTCTTGGCTTGGGAGCACCCTCACCCTTGCAGTAATCCCCCCACCCCCCGCCTCTGACAGCCCTGTTCGAAATGATGCAACAGCCTCGGGGTTGATACCAGCCTTTATTCGCGCCCCTGTGTCCCGGCCCCGGCCCCGACCCCGACCTCGACCCCGACGTCGGCCAGCTAGGTGCGGCTGCAGGGGTGAGAGGCAGTACCCAACTTGCGGCAGTAGCAGAAGGCGTTGAAGAAACGGCAGTAGCACGTGGCACACGGGTCGCAGCAGGGCACCTGGTGTCCCAGACAGGACTCGTGCAGCCGCACGCAGCGACGCGGGGAGCGTGGCTCTCGGCCCTGCGGGTCTAGCGCCTGCAAGGGTGGGGAAGAAAGAACACGAACGCTGGCTTCTGAGGGCAGGTCCAGGGACCCCACCTGCCTCAATCCGGGGTACAGGACGGCAGTGGAGTGTGGGCACGGGAGGTCTGAAGTGTTGCCCGCCCCAAGTAGAGGGGTCTGGGGGTGGGGAGTGGAGGTGGTGCCTGATGACCCCTCCCAAGGCCTGCCATGCCCCCTCGACCCTTTCCCTAAGCGGTTACCTCTGCCAAGGCCTCGGCCTCCTGCAGCAGGGCCTCTTCTGCGTGTCCTCCCGCTGTCCTCCTCAGCGGGGGCCGCAGGCCCAGGCCTGGGGCAGAAGATGTGAGGGCAGAGCCCCGCACGCACAAACACCCACCTCCCAGGACTGGGATTGGGAAGAGGGAAGGAGGGCTCATACCAGGTGGGACAGTGTGTGACCAGAGGGTGTCCAGGCCCCTCCCAGCCCACCCCTGTCCACACTGACCTGAGAACTCTGGAAACAGGGCCTGGTCAGGCCTTCTGATGCCCTCCAGGGGGGCCAGGCCTATCTGGGCCCCCTGCACGGTGGGCAGTGCCTGCAGCAGGGCACAGCTTAGCAGCACTGCGGTCAGCATGGCCTGGCTCAGTGGGGAGAGCCACCACTTAGTCCCTCCTCATCCTTGGAGCCCCCTCTAGTGCCCCACCCCAGAGAGAGGCCCCCCTCAGACAGCAGGAGTTCCTGCCCAACCTGAGGACTTACCTTTGCTTGCTGGGTCCCTGCCCTGAGAGTTCCCAGCCACCTCGTGTCCTCAGTTTATATGGCAGGACCTAATGAAGGGCCCACACGTGACTGCTCACTGCAGCTGGGGTGAGGGGCCCTCCCTGCAGGGTGGGGACACTGGGCCTCTCTCCCTGGGCCTTGGGCCTTTGGGTGCGCTGCAAGAGGGGTGCCCATCCCTGCTTTGGGGTGAGGTCTCCAGGAGCTAATCAAAGTCTGGGAATATGATAGGGTGCCCAGAGCCCCCAAATTTCTGATGGACAGGGGCCTAGAGGGGTGGGCCAGGCTGGAGCTATTAGCGGTAACAAGGCAGGTGGCCCTGAAAGATTTAATTTAATTTATGGCCCCGGAGATGCTCACTCAGTCCCTACGCGTTGTGTTCTGTTTCATTTGCTTCCAGGAACTTGGGTCAAGGGCATCGAAGGGGGAGATAGACGAGTGGCCTGAGCCAGGTGGGGGAGGGTACAGACCCAGACCCTGAGTTTTATTGAGAGAGGAGGGGAGATGCCCACCTAGCCAAAACCAGGTCCTCCTGCCTGCATCCCTGGCCCCACTTCCCCTCCCCCTTCTCCCTCCAGGCTTCTCCAAGACCCCCATCCCTGCTCCTGCTCCTGAGTCCCTTTCCGCCTGGGGTTCCTGGAAACCAAGAAAGCAGAACAAACTGTTCCCTGGGTGGGCGAGCTGCTTCGGAGTAAAAAGCTTTCTGGCCGCCTGTCTCATTAGTGCTAATCTCTGCTGCCTTCCACCCTGCATTGTCATGCCTCTGCCCATGCCTGGTCTTGTCACACCAGGCTGGGGGGAGGCCTGACCCTTCGTGGAAATGGCAGGACACACAGGGCCCCCATCTGTCCCTGCCTTCCCCAGCCTATATGGGGAGGGAACGCAGGCTGAATCAGCTTTAAGGCCTCAGTGTACAAACTGGGCTGGTTCCAGGCAGCAGAAAGTGGATGAGGGCCTTTGGGGCGGGCTGCCCAGGCTCACATGGGTCATTCTGACCAGGAGGAGGCCTGTGGAGGTCCTCTTGCCAGCAAGTGGAAACCAAATGCTGCACCTGGCAGTCTTTGGCCTGCCTGGGGTCAGCACCAACAGTTGGTGTTGGTGTTCTGGCCGAATGGGGCTGTGCAGCAGGTGGCCTAAGGCAGGTTTCTCCTACAGACAGTCACTGGTGTCTGCTCTGGGCTCAGGCTGGCAATGGGCTTGCCTGTGGTTGCCTCAGGTTAATAGTCCTAAATAGTCCTAGGAGTTACTGCTGCCCGGGGGAGGAAGCAGGGGAGTCAGGGAAAGTCTTTTGGAGGAGGTGAGCCTGCACGATGATCCAGCAGAAGGCCAGTCCCCTTTCCTCCTCTCAGACTGGTACTGGCTGTTTTGGTGACTCTATCACAAAACAGATCTGGTATCAAAGCCCCTCTGGCAGTCAGCATTGACCTTTCTTTCCCAGAGGCTGCAGCCCGGCTTGGTGGCCCGCTTCAGAGCTTTCTCTTCTCAGAGTGGTGCAGGATGAAGGTATTAGGCACGCAGGTGTGCCCCTTCCTGGTTGGGCCACTTGGAGCTCAGGAAGGGCAATACATCAAATGCACCTGAGGCACCTTCCCCAAATCCTTGTACCCTTGCCCCATCCCTGGAAATTCTGTCTTAAGAGATGGGTATGGGGAGCATGGACTGCATGTGGATTTTGGAAGCGAGCCCAGGTGAAGTGGGGATGGGGATTCCGGGCACCTGGCTGGCAGGCCTGGTCAGCACCATACTAAGAACAGCTCTTTATGTTCTAGGGTGGGGCCTCCTCCCACTCAGGTGCTCAGTGTCTTTGCTCACCTACAGAGCAGTAGCTGTCTTTACCTGGATGTGTGCACACGGATGTATCAGCCCCGTAGCCAGCGACAGACAAGACCTGAGGCACTCAGAGGGGCAGCCCGTGTCCCTGGTCTCCAATAGGGGAGATGGTCAAGAAGACCAACCATCAAAACACAATGGATGGAAAGCAATTTAGCAGTTTCTCAAAAAGTTAAACATAGAACTGCCATATGAGCCAGCAATCCCAATCCAGGAACATACCCAAAAGAATTGAAAGCAGGAACACAGACAGAAACCTGGACACCCATGTTCACTGCAGCACTTTTCACAGTAGCCAAAAGGTGTAAACAACCAGACTGTCCGTTAACAGATGAATGGGTAAGCAGAATGTGGTATATCCATATGTCTTAGTTATCTAGTGCTGCTGCTATAATAGAAATACTACAAGTGGATGGTTTTAACAAAGAGAAATTTATTCTCTCACAGTCTAGGAAGTTAGAAGTCCAAATTTAGGGTGCCAGCTCCAGAGGAAGGCTTTCTGTCTCTGTTGGTAGAAAAGGGGAAGGTCCTTGTTATCAATCTTCCTCAGTCAAGGAGCTTCTTAGTGCAGGGACCCTGGGTCCAACAGACACGCTATTCTGGCTCTTGTTTCTTGTTAGTATGAGGTTCCCATGTCTCTCTGCTTGCTTCTCTTTTATTTCTCCAAAGAGATTGACTTAAGACGAAACTTAATCTTGTAGACTGAGTCCTGACTTATTAAACTAACTGCCGCTATTTCTACCTCATTAACATCGTTAGAGGTAGGATTTACAACACATAGGAAAATCACATCAGATGACAAAATGGTGGACAATCACACAATACTGGGAATCATGGACTAGCCAAGTTGACACACATTTTTGGGGGACACAGTTCAGTCCATAACACCATACAATGGAATATAACTCAGCCATAAAGAGAAATGAAGTCCTGGTACATGCCACAACATGGATGAACGTTATGCAGAGTGAAATAAGTCAATTGCAAAAGGACAAATGTTATATGATTGTACTTACATGAAATAAGCAAATATATAGAAACAAAAATAATTAGTGGTTACCAGGGGTGGGAGAGAGGGGGAAAGAAGGCGTTTTTGCTAAGGGGGGCATTGAGTTTATGTTAATGGTGGTAGAATAACTCAGAAAAGGATAGTGGTAACGTATATAATGGTTGCATAATATGAATTAATCAACATCACTGAATTTTACATATAGAAATTGTCAATTGGTGAATGTTTTGGTGTGTATACTTTCAGCACAACAAAAAAGAACGTGTGTGTATGTGTAATTTAAAAAAAAAGAACACACAATGGGACTGTTATGGATTGCATTGTGCTTCCCAAAAATGTGCCAGCTTGGCTAGGCCATGATTCCCAGTAATGTGTGATTGTCCACCATATTGTGATCTGATGTGATTATCCTATGTGTTGTAAATCCTAACCACTATGATGTTAATGAGGCAGGATTAGAGACAGTTATGTTAATGAGGCAGGACTCAATCTACGGGATTAGGTGGTATTTTGAGTCACTCTCTTTTTAGATATAAAAGAGAGACTCCAGCAGGGAGGAGAGGGACCTCCTACCACCAAGCAAGTAGTGCCAGGAGCAGAATGTGTCCTTTGGACCTGTGGTCCCTGTGCTTAGAAGCTTCTAGACCACGGGAAGATCGATAACAAGGACCAGAGCTGACAGAGAAAGCCTTCCCCTGGAGATGGCGCCCTGAATTTGGACTTCTAGCCTTCTAAACTGTGCGAGAATAAACTTCTGTTTGTTAAAGCCACTCGTGGTATCTCTGTTTTAGCAGCACTAGGTAACTAAGACAGGGACAGAGAAACATGGAATATTTGATGACATTAAGCAATAATTTTTGATTTTCTAGTTGTGATAATGATAATGATATGCTCTTTAAAAAACACTCTTATCTTTTAGAGAAGCATACTGAAGTATTTACTGATAAAATGATATGAAGTCTGGGATTTGCTTCAAAATAACCTGGGATGGGAATGGGGTAGTGGGAGGTGATATAGATGAAACAAAATGCCTGTGAGTTGATAACTGTTGATACTGTGATGTGTACATAGGCTTCATTATCCTATTGTTACTATTTTTGTATATGTTTGAAAATTGCCATAATAAAAATTAAAAATAAAAAGAATTTTTAGAAAATGCAGTGGGATAAGTGTTTTATAGAAGAATGCTCCAGGGGCATGTGAGACCAGGATTGGCACCTGCCACAGCTGAGGAGGGAGCATGCTAGGGAATATTTCCTGGGAGAAGAGATCTCTACTCAGTCATGAAGCTTGAGTAGGAGTTGGGCAGATGCCAGGCGAGAGACAGTGTAAGTCTCCTGGGCTCATAACTAGCACCACTATTTACCAAGCTGCCTATTTATACCACTATTTATACTGAATTCCCAATGGTGTCTGAAGTTAAAGTGAGGGCATTGATTGGGAAGAAATGGGATCCTGAAACTTGGGATGGGGACATATGGGTAGATAATCAGGAAGCTGGGGACACTGAGCCCCTACATTCCATTGAATCACTCCTGCCAACAGAAGCAGCCCTCTCACTCCCATCTGAAGAGATTACTCCATCTTTGTCTGCTAAGCCACCCTCCCCAGTAAAACCATTAGCCCCTCCTCCTCCGTGTGATGAGATTAATCCAGCTGTGTCTAAAAAGGCTTTGTCTAAGTCATTGCCTAGGGTAATGCCTGGGGAAGATGCCTTACAAGATAATGCTGAATGTTCTCAAAACACATCCCAACCACTGATTTTGGCCTCTAGACCTATAACTAAACTTAAGTCCCAGTGAGCCACAAAAAGTGAAGTGCAAAGTGTGACCAGGAGGAGGTACGCTACACTCCAAAAGAACTGCTTGACTTTTCTAATATGTACAGAAAGAAACCGGGAGAATATGTGTGGGAATGGCTATTAAAGATGTGGGATAATGGTACAAGGAACATAAAGATGGATCAGTCTGAGTTTATTGATATGGGCCCACAAAGCACAGATTCTTCTTTCAGTGTTT